CTACAAGTCAACCCACCCTCGCCGAGGCTGGATCCCCGCAGTTTTTATCAGAGGGTGTGTGTACTCTATGCACTCTCTAGAGAGACAGAGAGACGGTGAGAGGGAAAGTAAGAACTCACCCCCTAGGGGGATGGCCAGAGCCAGGCCACAATTCCTCCTCCATTCTTTACCTGGGATTTTGGGCACACACGCACACGTGCCTGGTGTGATTTTCAAGCCACCAGGTCTGGGACTCAAACTGTGATTGGCCATGTGGAAGTCTAGCACCTTAACCACCATGTCAGCTGCTGGCCCCAGTTCTATTCCTTTTTTAACCACAGCAGTGTGGGTTAAATCATTAAAAAAAAAAAGGGCTTAGCATCAACAGGTGGTGTGATGGTTAAGGCACTGGACTCCCACATGGCTGACCACAGTCTGAGTTCCAGAACCAGAGGCCTGAAAATCATGCTGAGTGCTCGTGTGTGCGTGCGCGCGCGGGTGTGTGTGTAGTGGAGAAGGGATTGTAGGTAGCCATACTCCCTGTGGGGGGGAGATGATTCCTCACTTTCCCTCTTTTTGTCTCCCCCTAGAGTATGTATACACCCTATGGCAATATCTCAAACAAAACAAAACTCAAAGGGGCTTAAAAACAGTTCTCACGGAGCCAGCAGGTGATTGGCGGTAGTTTAGGCAGTAGACTCCCACATGGCCGATCATACTTTAAGTCCTGGACCTGGGAGCTTGCTTTCTCACATTCCCTCTCTCTGATGAGTGTACATGCCCTGTAGCAAATTTAAAAATAATTAAAAATAAGTAAAATTAAATTGAAACCCCCCCAAAAAACAGTTTTGTCTTGCTTCCACTGCCAGATAGAGAACCCATGTCCTCCACACTCCCAGGGTGTGATGTTCTGGTGTGGCAGCTCTCCACTGCTTGCTTGCTTTCTTTTTAATAATCGCTTTTTAAAAAAGGCTGAGTTAACTCTATATATCTAGTTATTTATTTTAATTTGACCAGATGGGGGGAGGGAGGGAGAGAGAAAGAGATGTGGGGAGGGGAGAGAGAGAGAAAGTGAAACAGCGAGCCACCAGGACTTGAAGCACGGTTGGCCATGTGGGAGTCCAGTGCCTTTAACTACCAGGCCACCTGCCAGCCCCTGCACTGCTTTCTTTTCCACCCCAGAAGGCGAGACTGGAAGACAGGTGGGTGTTGTCACTAAGGACAGCCTTGCGTCTCACTAGATCTAGTCAATCAGAGCACTTAGTAACCTATCATATTATCTCAGATCACCATGACAAACACCTTTGTGCCAACACCATTTCTGAGGACCCTTGCTCACAAAGTTCAGTCAGGGCCAACATTCTCATTTGCGTTATTTTAGGTATTTCTTAGATTTTTTAAAAACATAACCAGTAGAAGAGTTTTAAAAAATATTTATTTGCTTCTCAAAATAATAGAAAATAAAAATTGGTACAATTATGTTACACAATTTGGGAAAGGCATATTCACCCTTTCCTATCAGAGGAAAGTTCTATGCAAAGCCAGAAATGGAAATACCTCCGCTGTCAGTGACGAAGGGTAACGCTGCTGATAGAAGGAGCCCTTACACGCTGGTTTTACAAGTTTTCTTCTCTGCCATTAGCTCTTGAGGAAATACCATTCCAGTGGGAGAATTCTGAACATAAAAGGCACCTAGAGTAAAAATTAGACCTTAACTGATAAAAACAGCTGCATGTGCTTACATCAAGAAAAAAAGGCCCTATCGATGCAACTTGCCTGCAAGGCAGGGATAACATAAATGCAAAAGCCAGTGCAATGAACAAGCCTGTAATTGCTGACCCGAATCTGGTACATGGGCTGGATGATAACCATCACTTTTGTGTTTATAAACCTGAAGATTTTTTTATTTTGAGGCTTTTGCTATAGGGCACATGCGTTTGCCAGACAGAGAGAGACAGAGAGACAGAAAATGAGAAATCACCCCCAAGGGGGATGGCCATGCCGCAATCCCTTCTCCTCCATTCTCCTCTCAGGATCTTGGGCACGCACGCACACGTGCCCGGCGTGAGTTTTAAGCCACAGGGTCATGGGAGTCCAGTGACATTGACTACATGGGAGTCCAGTGACATAGCCATTACGCTAACTGCTAGTCCCCAAACCTGGGGATGTTTTATCATCATTTATACCAGCACAAATACTCTATGTTCACAGCTGGGGGCCCTCGAATCACTTATTCATGGTCAAGATTTGTTCTATTTGCTATTAAAATGCATTACTGGGTACTCCATTCATGGATAGGTTAAAAATTCTTATTGTCCTTTGAGAATGCAGCAAAACCTAGAACTGCTACTTTCAACAGTTTAAACCAAAGTCCTTTTCTATTTTTATAAAGCCAGTAAAGCTGACATTTTACTATGATTTAAGCACCTGAAGTATATTCCAACCAACTTAAATTCTCTGAGCTAAAATTAGGATCCTCAGGACTTATGTATGTGTACAAAAATTGCAAATTATCTCTTTAAGCTAATAAAAACTTTAAAAAATACAAATAATCCATTGCTACAAAAAACTTGGAATCCACAAACGGGTCTGTACTAAGAAATGAACAAGAAGCCAGTGAGCCAACACGTGTGTGTGCTTTCTAATCCGTGGACCAGGCCCTCTTCAGCGGAGCCACGTCGTATTCAGCTGGGTCTGATGCTTGATGCTGGTATCCATTTTTAGCACTTCTCGAATAGCCATGGTAGCGTAAGTGGAAGGAGGAAGAGAGAAATCCATTTTCAGAGCCCTGTATTTGCCTTCTGCCAGGCAAGAAAAGAAAAGAATGGTCAGAACATGAAGGCAGCTGGCGAGAGATGGAGAGTCATCCAGTCTCCGCAAATTCAAAGAGCTGGGCTCCCACGCTCAGGCTCCACTGCCCAAGGTCTCCGGGGGGTAAGAGCCCTGAGCGTATAGGATGAGCTGAATGGTTACGGAGGGTCTGCCTGGGAGCCTTCTGAAAAAGAGCAGACGGCGGAAGAGCACAAGAGAGAAATGCGTGTCATACTGACAACAGTGAGACATTAGGGCATGGGAGAAAAGCAGAAAGGAATGGCAATAAGAACTAGATAATGAGAATGCAACTTCCCAAATTTTCCTCACCTTTGCTAACTCTCCATAAAGGATGAGGATGAAATAGCCAATCAGCTAGTATCACCACCACCTACAACCCCCATGCATTTTCTGCAGTATTTACTGTTTTCATTACTGCATGGCTACTGGGTCACCAGGAAAGTCATGACGTATTTTTATATAGACAAACAGAAAAATGTCATGACTGTCCCGATGACCTGATACAATCAAGAAGGTACGGTGACGAAACACAAAATAGAAATCATGGGGGGGGTGGTTTAGAAGACCAGATTTTCTTGTTTTTGTATGAGAAAGTAATTCAAGGTTGACACAAAGTTGATGACTGTAGAAATCACGGGGGGTGGGTGGGGTGGGTGGTGGTGTTTAGAAGACCAGATTTTCTTGTTTTTGTATGAGAAAGTAATTCAAGGTTGACACAAAGTTGATGACTGAGTAAACTCACCAGAAGCAAAAACTGGTGGTGGTTTCCCTTCTAGGTTGTCTACATCTGTGTTGAAAAGTGGAATTTTAGGATCATCATATGCGACGACTTCCCTTCAAAACACAAAGATAAATGTGAATGTGAACTTACCTAAAAGGCAACGAAGTTGCTTACCACCATTTGTTTAGCAAGAAAACAGGTCTCTTATAAATAAATATTGGGACCAGCAGTTAGCGTAATGGCTATGTCACTGGACTCCCATATAGTCGACTGCAGTTTAAGTCCCGGACCCGGTGGCTTAAACTCACGCCGGGTGCCTGTGCGTGTGTGCCCAAGATCCCAAGAGGAGAATGGAGGAGAGAGGACTGTGGCGTGGCCATCCCCTGTGGGAGGTGATTTCTCGCTTTCTATCTCTCTGTCTCTCTGTCTGTCTGGTGAACGCATACGCCTTATAGCAAAAACCTCTCCAGAAAAACAACAACAACAACAACAAAAAAAAACAACCAAGGCCAGATTTCATATACATATGTAATGCCTTCGTGTGATTATTCAGGCAGATGACAGATGAGGTCAGCCTATGTGTAACATAAAACGTGAGCTGGCTCTGTGCCACAGTGGTAATGTGGTGCTTGAGAGAAACCAGATCCTACATGGCCAAGGCTGTTCAAACCCCGCCCAGTCAGCTTGAAACACAGCGGGCACACATGGAAGTGCCTGAGGGCCAATGGGCTGCAAGACTGGAGGAAGGAGAAAGCAGTGTGACCAGTCCCTGTGGGGGGTGCTTGTTTTTTTCTTTCTTATGTGAGTGCTCATGCTCTATCATAAAGAGAGAAAAAAATATTTTCCTAGGGTAAATTTTTTTCTTGTTGAGGTTTTTGCTATATATAGGGCTTGTGCACTCATGAGAGAGATACAGAGGACGGAAAGTGAGACACCATTCTAGGGGGCTGGTCACACCACAATCTTTTCTCCTCCATTCTCCTCTCGGGATTTTGGCTATGCATGCACACTCACCTGGCATGATTTTCAAGTTGCCAGGTTCAGGACTCGAACCGTGGTTCGTTAGGTGGGAATTCAGCGCCTTAACTACCACACCACCTACTAGGCCCCATTTTTTTTCCTTCTTAAATTTCTGCTATAGAGCACATGCAGACAGAGATAAGGAGAGAAAGAAAGAGAGAGACAAAGTGAGAAAGCACCACCTAGGGGGGATGGCCACGCCACAATCCCTTCTCTTCCATTTCTCCTTTGGGATTTTGGTCATGCATGCACATGTACAACCCAGACACCTTAACCTTCAAACCATGTGCTGGTCTTGAAAATTCTTTACATGTGAGGTTGGTAGGTAGTAAACTTTGCTTTGTACAGATGGGATCAAGTTTGCTATTTACATTTTCTTCAGAATGATTATCACTACCAACACCACCTAGTTATTTTATTTAGTTATTAAAAAATAATTATTTTATTTAACTTTATTTTTTTTTTAAAGAATTATTTCATTTCATTTTATTTATTTATTTATTTTAATTTGACCAGAGAGGGTCAGAACGAGAGAGAGAGAGAAAGAAAGAGAGAGAGACAGAAAGCAAGCTGCCAGGTCTGGGACTCAAACCACTGTCAGTCATGTGGGAGTCTGGCATTCTTTTTTTTTATTGCTATAGGGTGCGTGCGCTCTCCAGACAGACAGAGACACAGAAAGCGAGAAATCAGCCCCCACAGGAGATGGCCATGCTGCAATCCCTTCTTCTCCATTCTCCTCTCGGGATCTTGGGCACACACGCACACGCGCCCTGTGTAAGTTTTCAGCCACTGGGTTCGGGACGCGAACTGCAGTCTACTACATGGGAGTTCAGCAACATAGCCTTTCACTTTGACCAGAGAGAGACAGATAAGAGAAAGGGAGGGAGAGAAAGTGAGAAAGCAAGCTGCCCGGTCCCCAGGCCTTGAACTGCAGTTGGCCATATGGGAGTCCAGTGTTCTTGACCACTACGTCACTTGTCAGCCCCCACCACCTGGTTATTAATGAGGAACTGCTTTCTGGAGTAGGGAAGACAAATTCAAGTCTACCAACTTCCTGCCCACAATCCAGAGAAAAAGAGAAGAGAGGAAGAGAAAAAAGATGAGGGAACAAAGAATTTCTTGGCAATAGGCAAACGGTTTAAGATTTCATTTTTAAATGATTTAAATAAAGTTTTAGATAGAGGCCAGCAGGTGGCAGGGTGGTTAAGGGTACTAGATTCCAACATGGCTGACTGCAGTTCGAGTCCTGGACCTGGTGGCTTGCTTTCTCACTTCGTCTTTCTTCCAGAGAGAATTATTAATTATAATTATTAATTATTTTAATTACTATTAAAATAATGATAATAAATAAATAAAGATAAATAAAATTAAATGAAAAACAATTAAAAAAAAAACTCACTTCATATAAAAATTTGGCTCTATTTCATTCCAGGTCAATACTCACCAGCTGACATTCTGAGGACGAATAATGATTTTCCGGTAGGCCCCTGATAAGGAATAATCTCGAATTTTGTGTCTCATGTTGTCAATATCAAGATTGTCTGCTGTGAGCATTTCCCGGTAGGCTTCACTAACTGATATAAAACAAAAGAAGTTAGTTGGAATGCTGCCTGTCAACAAACTATCTTGGACTGCAGAGTAACATGTAAGTTCAGTTAAACGGCCCTAAAGAAATTAGTCTCCCTACTTTATAATACAAAGTCCACTCTTTGGAATTAAAACTTACTGGCATAGTAACCAGTACATCAAGGTGTCTTCTTTGTTTTGACCAACTTGTAAATCATCTTTTCAACTGGCCACAATACCTGTGGTGTAAGATTCTCACGCTAAATGCACAGAGCCAATTTATCCCAAGTTGCTAAACTACAATTTATACATGCTCAGGGGTTGGAAGAGACCATATACAGAGCTTCAAACACTCTCCGAAGAGGTAGTTATAAATAAGTGTGTAAAAATAAGGAGACCTTGGAAAACCATCTGGCTCACCCTCGCACCTGATGTAGAATCTATTTTATAACACTCAAGAGAGACAGTTTTCTAGCCTTTGCTTGCGTGTTGTCATTTACGAGGAGTTACTTCTTCGTGAGGCATGTTAATTATTAAAAAGATCTTCCTATTTCGAGCTGGAATTCATTTACTTTGAACTTTTGTTGCGGTTTTAGAACACAGTGAATTAAACATCTTCTCCCACATGTATTCCTAAGTCCTGGACCTTTAAGCCATGTTTCGTCTATTAATAGAACTAACAATGGTTCCCTCATCTGTCCCTCCTTTGATATTTCTGTATTCCCATCAAAACTTTATGTGGAAATAGGCTTATGCACAATAACCCCAGATGTTTTTCAACTTTTTATGTAGACTACTACCAAACTGGGCCTTTCCCATCTGTACATTCGATCATTAAGCATAAATGTGAGACTACATTTAAAGGTGTTAGATGTCTTCTGTGATTGTTTTTCATTGAATTTTCTGTTTTGTACTATTTGCAATTATGATAAATACTAAAGAGATGTCTTAATTCAAATTACTTATAAAAAATGTTGGGTAGAAGAGGGCCAAGACAAGACACCCTTACCACACACTAAGGGCAACGGGCATCTCCAGGTATGTACTGCTGAATCCTATGTGTGTAGGTTGTGTCCACCCAATCTGCGAGTCCCCACCGTTGGCTATGAGGTTTGCACGAACAGTTCTGTCAAACACCTTGCTGAATTTATGTTCTAACTTTTATTAGCCAAGTTGATGGCTGATTTTGGGTATCAACTTGACTGGATTAAGGAATACCCAGATGGCTGATAAAACACTCATTATCCTCTTTTCCTCCCTGGCTGCTTGAGGATATACTGCCATCACGAATGACACAGTAACTCTCCGAACCAGGAAATTCATGACCAACCGACTACTTCAGAGGAAACAAATGGTCATTGATGTCCTTCACCCTGGGAAGGCAAAACAGTACCTAAGACAGAAATTTGGGAAAAACTAGCGCAGATGTATAAGACCACACCAGGCGTCATCTTTGTGTTTGGGTTCAGAACACATTTTGGTGGTAGCTCTGGCATGATTTATGATTCTTTGGATTATGTGAAGAAAAATGAAACCAAGCATAGACTTGCAAGACATGGCATTTATGAGAAGACGACGTCAAGAAAACAGTGAAAGGAACTCAAGAACAGATTGAAGAAAGTCAGGTGGACCGCAAAGGCCAATGCTGGTGCTGGCAAAAAGTTGAAGGAGTAAAGATTCTGCAACGATTATCTGTGGTGATGGCGTGGATTTTCATGAGAGGATTAATAAACTAAAAAATTTTCATTAAAAAAAAAAAATCCATTATCCTCAGTGCTTCAGTAGGCATGGAGTCAATCCCTCTTCTGCTTCAAGGGGGAACTCAGCTAGTTTGGCATTAAATTAGAATGGTTGGGCTGCCCCAATTGTGTCCGTGAGGGCTACCAGTAAAGACTGGGGTGTGAGCACGTTAGTGGAGTAAGGGGGAAACTCCATACTCTATGTGGGTGGGCGTCATTTCATTGACCAGGGGCCCAGATGGAGGAAGGCAGAAGGATGAATTCTCTCCCTCTTTCTCTCAGAGCTGGGACACCCTCTTTCTTTGGACTGCAGAACTCCAAGTTCTCTAGCCTGTGGACTCAGAGACTTGCACTAGCACCACTAAGTTCTCTGGCTTTCAGTCTCAGTCAGAGAAACCATCAGCTTCCTTAGCCTTGAGGTCTTGGAATGTAGACTGAGTCATGCCGCCAGCTTCCTGGTTCTCCAGCTGGCTGATGGCCTTCAAAATCAAGGAAGCTAATTCCTCTAACAAATCGTCTTTCACATCTCTCTATATATCCTATGGTTCCCTCTGGAGAACTGTGACTGCATCAGAGGGCAAGGAGTGCGGGGTTTAGCACCCAGTGCCTTCCTTCCTGCTG